TTCCTTCCTTCCTTCCTTCCTTCCTTCCTTCCTTCCTTCCTTCCTTCCTTCCTTCCTTCCTTCCTTCCTTCCTTCTCCCAGGTGTCCCAGGTTTGTTGACTCCTTGTTACGCTTCCGCAAAACCCAGCGGGACCTACGGGCCAGTCAACCCCATTCTCAACTCCACTTACCAATTCATGGCTTCGTTTTTTGCTGAAGTTAGCTCCATCTTCCCAGATTTCTACCTTCACCTGGGAGGAGATGAGGTGGACTTCTTCTGCTGGTGGGTTTTGTTTTCCTTGGGGAATCTGGAAGGGGAGAGATGGAGAGAAGGCGAATATCTGGTGGGATGAAGGGGAAAGAGTGTAATGGCGATGGTGACCTCTTGGGATGGAACCAACAAAGAGATTGATGGACATAAACCATACATTGAAAAACCTGCCATGTTCACACCTATTGTTAAACTAAGATGGATCCTGAGGTAAAAATAAGAACATGCCCCTCACAAGGATATAGGTATCCATGCTTCAGAGGAACCATAATGTATCCACAACTTAGCTTATATTCATCTGTAGCCCTATTTGTCTGGTGGCAAATTTCACTCCATTGAATCCTTGGAGAGAGATGGGATCAACATAGGTCAGGTAGAGACCATGGGAATGGTGATGAATGGGTATTAGATACCTGCTAGCTTCACTTTGGACCAAGCCCTCATTTGTCCTAACATTGGTTTACTGAAGTAACCTTGGTTCTAACTTTGGCTGACCTAAGTAACCTTGGTTCGTTGACGAAGCCACAATTGGAGGCCGTCACACAGCATTCCGTGTCACAAGTCACAAGGGCGAAATTCAAAGCCGTGTTAAGTTGAGGGCTGGAATCACGAGTGGACCAAATATTAGCACGATCGATCCTGCTTCATGTAGCTCAGGGCCACTGAGATTGGCCACTTTAAGACTTGTGGTCTTCAACTCCCAGAATTCCCCAGCCAGCCTTCCTGTCCAGAAGTCTTAAAATGGTCAAAAATTTGGCCACTGGTGGAGCTGATATATTTGTAAAACACGAGGGATGTTTCCATTTTGATTCTTGATGGCCTACCGAACAATCCTCTGAGGAGCTAGACTTTGGAAATTTGGAGCATCCAACTTTTTCTGTTTCCATGTAGGAAGTCTAACCCGGACATCCAAGCCTTCATGCAGAAAATGGAATTTGGCCAAGACTACGCCAAGTTAGAATCCTTCTACATTCAAAGGTAAAGTGTTCCTTCCCCTCCATTGCTAAGTATTTGTTTAGGGCAAGAAAACAGGGCTACCCTCCCTCAAACAGGCCCTTCCCAAAGATTATGGCCCCTTCCTATCACTCTCAGGCAAGCCAAGGTGCAGAACAGGTTAGTTCTTCAGACGCGGCTTCTAGGTAGACCAAGGTAAGAATTGTGCCAGGCCGAGCTTCCTGTTTTTCGGGTTTCTCTTTCTTTTGCCCTCAAACTGACTTCCCCTCCCATGTCAGGAGACAATCTTGATTTATTGGAGAGTTGCCAGGCGAAGGCAGGAACAAAAGAGAAGTCTGATGCAGGGAAATTGAAACTCTTGCGGGCTTATGAGGTGCTTTCTCCTCTCCTTGGTTCTCTTTGCTCCAGGCTGCTGGATATAGTCGCATCTTACAAGAAAGGTTACATGGTGTGGCAAGAAGTATTTGATAACGGTGTGAAGGTAAGGATTGTGCTAGGACAGTGATGGCTAACCTTTTGGGGCTCCTGTGCCAAAACTTGTGTGCACGCTTGCGTGCAACCACCCAGAAGACAATGTGGGCGGGGGCCCCCCATGCCTCTTATGCATGTATGTGCAATCTCCACCCCATCCCCGCCCCCTTACCTACACTGAGCCTCCCAGCTGATTTTCAGCCCGTTTGAGGCCTTTT